CTTGCTAGAGGTTGTAGCTAATAAACATAGCTGAACTGATTTTGCGTTGTCTCTTGGAGTTCCTTGGGCTAGGCCTGACAATTTCTTTTCAATCATTCATTCTAGCTCTTTTTAGTAGTGTAACACAAACAGCTGGTGGTATTTTTACAGACTTAATAATGTTTTTTTCCCCTTTCCCCATGTGAATCTGGGCCCATAGCAGGAAGAGCTGCAGCCTTCCACTTGAATGATGGCTCCATCAGTCCCATGTGGCCATTGATTACCAGCAGCCTCTTAGCTAGACTCTGACAGCTGACATATACTTTTTCTCCTGAAGCCTTTCAGTGTGTTCAAGAAGAGTGCCTGGCTGATATATTCTTTACACTAATCCTATTATAGAAAAAGGCTGTTTGCTAATGAAATAAATGTATTCTATCCAACTAGCAAGGAAGTATAACTTCCCTAAATTGATAAATTATACATGTATTCTACCTTACAAGGTCACAGAAATTCCAGAAGAGAGGCTATATTAGTTTGGTGCAGGAAGAAGAGAAAAACAGCTTGTGATATGATAGAAATCAACATACACAAACCTTTACTAAATGTATAAAGGAGCAGATGCATGTATGTTTATGGATACATAGATATAGAGGAGAAAGCATAAATCAGTAAGTATAAAATCCACAAAATGGAAAAATAAATCTCAAATACATTCAAATTAGGAATGAATAATTTACTGGAAGATTAAAATAGAATGCCTTACATTTGTTCTATTGCTTGAAATTATCAGCAATCTTTCTACCTTCATTTTTGTACTATAGGACAGACGCAATGAAAATAGTTTGTTGTAAATCCTATTAGTAAAGTCAGATGGCAGGATGCTAGGCGTAATATTTTATATAAGTGTTATTTTTATGGTATTATTAACATATGATGCATACTGATTTTATAGTGTTTGTATAATTTTTACTTTTGTTTTAGTCTAGTAATTTTAATTGTGGTCGGAGGATGCTGCAGTAGGGAGCACTTTATAGGTAAAATATTTGTATACTACACATGCTAACATGGCTACATCTCTAAAACGTAAGGAAGCTATTTTGTTATTTAGTCAGTATCTCCTCCTAGACCAATATTGGTTCTCAACAATTGTTATAGAGTAACATCACACATCATAGCTTATTTGTATTTTCTGCAAATAATCTATCCATGATTGAACTCTGTGGTCCATCACTGATATCTCATTCGAGTTTGATAAGCACTCTTTGAGTATGGTTTTCAGACCAACTGTGGATCTGCCTTAAGGCATCCAGTCCATACTTAATTAGCTTAATAATTACTGTTAAATATTTTGCTGATATCAAGAAATAAGTAGCATTGCCACAGTTTGATGAAAAAAATATTCAATCAAAACATGCTATGAGATTAGTTTCCATAGAAATCCATAGGATAACTGCATTTTTTCCATGTGAACAAACTTATCACCTAATATTTTATTCTTGAATTTTTCCAGTATTGATGCCACAGTGTCTGATCTGTAATTTTAGGATTCCACTTTTGTCTTGCCAAAGTTAGGGACATTTGTCCTCTCCCAATCATCTGGGACATCATCCACAGGATAAGATTTCTCAAATCTTACAATCTATCTGGCTTAGAATCTACAGTATCTCATTCAAGGTCAACAGATGTTCTTTGACTATGTTGACATAGAACTTAAACTGGAATCTCAGTTTTTCAACCAGCTCTTTAAAATTTTATGTGGAATATACATATCCTGAAAGTTGGGCCAAATAAGAGTTGAGTAGTTCTACTGTTTCTTTCTTGTTATCATTTGCCACCTTCACTAAGTAGCTGGTATGTTTCTTTTCTTTCCCTTTTCTTTTGAACACATCTGAAGAAACTGTTTTGCTCTCTTTTGTTAACTTCGGCTTACTCTGAGCTTTAGTTTTCCTGAGAACAAACATACATTCAAAATTATAAAATTAAACATCTATAATAAAAGTGTTTTTGCAGCAACCTGGATTTTTAAAACATAGAAATTACGAAGACCCTCAATGTCTGTATCTTGTTACAGAACTCATCCTATTATACATCCAGTTCTAATGCCTTATTATTATTTCGACTAGCCTATCTTCTGATTTCCTTATTTCACACAATATTCCTTCCAATGAACTTTCCTTCTCCAACTGTCTCATTGGCCCAAAGTTCTGTTTTTTTAATTGTTCCAATTTCCATTGCTTATTTGCTTGTTCTTAGGATTTCACCCCAAAATACCTCTTCAAATTTATTTTAATATGAAACCTAGCTACAAGCCAACCCTTCATTTCTAACTACAACACATTTATCTGATTTACCATATTCATCTGCCTAATTCATAACTAAGTCATTACAACAGAAAAGCCTATAATCTTAACATTTCAGCGTAACAGGAATAAATCCTTCAGATATACTAGACCCTACACTTTTATTCTCAGAGTCCTGTGATAGCCAAGATTACATAGTTTGTTGCATTATGCTGGATCTGAACCTCGACCTCCTCAGCCCAAATCCAATAATCTATCTAGTACATGCAGTGCCATCTTAACATTACTGACATTATTATTAGGGCTATCCAAACAGTCAAAAGGGTCATTTCACAAAGCATGTTGGTATGAGCAAAAAACTCCTTCTTGAAGCACAGTATAGTATGCATAGCATAGTATAGTTGTGGAGGAGAATGTCCTTAGATCCTTAATAATGTCCTTAGGTCTTGAATAATGGAGAGGTTAATAAAACATCTCTTCAACACAGGCTTTCTTCCAAGATGGGATTATTTTGTGCACTCCAATTATGTAAAAAGATTATCTAATTATCTAAATGCTAGGATTATTTGCATATTCTGGAGTCAGAAACATTAATAATTACAGCTTCCACAATCTGCTTTAAAGTTTTGGCAGAAAACCCAATTCTGCTCTGTAAAAATTTTTCTAGAATGGACAGAGGGAAAAAAGGAAGATGTTTTTTTTTAAGGAAGCAAACTGGTTCCTCCTTTCAGGGAATCGATTCCTTGAACAGTCTTTCTGCATCTTATGCCTTCCAGATGTGATTAATTTCAGCTTAAGATGTGATGGACACATTTATGACCATATTTTAGATGAATTATGGGAGTGGCAATAAAAATATATTTGAAGGGCACTGGTTGGGGAAGGTGGTTTTAAAAAGTCTTACTCTTTTTGGAATGAGTTTTGTATCCCAGTAATCAGCATATATTTTGTATATTTACTGAAACAAAAAGAGGTATGCTGTATTCATGAAGACTGCTAATACTATATACTTACTAGAAGATGTATTCGTTCCTTCAGTAGAGGCAGAAATCTTGTCTATGAGTTCTGCAATACACAGAAAGCAACATGGTAATAGAGATGGGGAGGTCCTATCCATTTGTAGTGGAGTTTAAAGTTTGTCTTCCCAGGAAAGACAAATTCTTTGGGGAAAAGTGGATGAAAGAGCAGCTTTGAATAGCAGGGAATTACAAAGGGACTACATGTTGTCCTAAGCATACCAAGAATAACTTATTAAAGCAAAAATTAATTTAAAAAATTCTCCTCCATTCTTGGCAGAAAACTAGCAAAATTAGGGAAAATGATTTTAACTCTTTGTTACGGCATGACAGAATATCCCTGAACTGAAAGATTTAGAAGGACCACTTTATTACTATATTGGTAGAAAGTACTAGAAATAAATATAGTTTCTGGCTAGATTTTTTTATTTGAAGATCCTGGGTTACATAAGAAAATTCAGATGTTTTGATGACTTGACATCTGCAAAGAATTCATGACAAGCACTGCTTTTGGAAAAATCTGTACTAGGAGCAAAATACTAAATGATGAGAGAAGTTTAAAGATACTTCATAATGGTGGGTATAACTTCAGGAACATTTAAATAATTAGAAACTATGGGTATCCAAAGCTTTGATTCAAAAGCGATTCAATGAAATCACCTTTTCAATTTGAATTGCACATCTGAATTGGAACATGGCTGATACGCACTCCTATTATAAAGATAGTTTGAATCCATATTTTAAAAAAAAAACCTGAATGGAACAAAATTATCTTGACAAGTTGACAAAGTTCAAGTCTGGTAACCAGCTGAAGTAAAGAGAAATAAAACCAGGATTGACTGAATTTTCAGTCTGATATGGGAGACTGAACCACAGGAAAGGCAAGACAGAGGATGTCCTTTATGAAATGCAAAAACTAGTCACATGCCAAAATCTGGTAGAATTTCAAAACATGCATTCAGAAGGCCACGTGCTCTGCTCTGCTACCATTCCAGAACTAGCCAGGGTTAGACAAAAGAATCTCAGAAAAGCTGAAGGGATGCAGCATTCATCATTCTGGTGTGCCACAAATGTGACAGATGAACAGAACAAGCAGCAACATGCAATATGAGCGTATAAGATAGCTGTCAGGGAATGGAACCTGTCTTTGAGACATTGTAAAGACTACATTTTAAAAACCATGAAAGTAGCCCCATTGCAAATAATGTAGGTCATCTCTCAAAAAGCAGTATAAGAGGATACCATAGTGACAGATCTAAATGTTTCTGTAAAAAGGCAGCTTAAAAATGCAAATATAATCCAAGTGGAACAGAGGCAACATAAGCTATATAAGGAATAGATTACTAAATCTAATAGCAGCTCCTTTTTAAATACTACAGTTCAGCATTGTCAAGTTATTAGAGGATGCATGCAATACTAGAGGAAATGAGAGGCATTAATATCCCATGCCAAAAAGAAAATATAGTGTCAAGGAAGACAAAGAAAGGATGAACACCTAGCAGGCTGCAACTTGTAACTGGCTGCTGCAACTGATAATGTAAGGGCATCTTTAGAGTAGAAAAAGACACTAAACTCCAGTTGAGATCATCAAATCAACTCATAAATATAGATCAAGGATACAATTGCATTTTTTCCTATGACATATCTAAACTCTATCCAAAGATTAAAGATGTAGAGAAAGGCTGAAGAAAAACCTGGATATGTAGAATTAACTTTAGGGAGGCAAACTATTCAACTTGACTTACGTGAGGATGCATTTACTCCTTTTGTCAAAACTGGTACCATGCCCGTGGGTTCTGCAAAAAACAAAAGCAGGAATCAGAAGCAGCTACACATGTCAGTGAACTGCCATGTGTATAAGACGGTGGTCTGATGAAATTACAGGAAAAGCAAGAGAAAATATAACTTAATCTTCTATTGTAATTGAAATGTATCACTAGTGATCTCAGATATAGTGATACTATTACTATTCTCAATTATTGGTATTTTTTGTTATTTGGAAAAAGCAAAATTATGAAAGATGGTATTACAAGAAGTGAGTAAATAGATCCTCTTGGGTGACTTGGGCTAAGATCTATGTTTCTATGGATCTCTCATTCAGTATGTAGAACAAAATTAATATTTCATCTATCATATACCATTAATTGCATAATTGAAGATATTTAATTTAGGTAAAGATAGATTTTAATAACCTTTTCTAGTGAAAAATGGTACCAGAAAAAGTAACTCTAATATCTGATTTCAGAGACTTTTTTTTTTCTCTTTGTCATGTGAAACACACATAAAGGTTCAGTTGGCTTAAGAAATATGCATGTGTAGATACTTGGGTATCTTAATGTATAACTGACATATCTCTAGGGATATTATAGTGTCAAATTTCAATATGAAGCAAGTAAAGAATATAGCAGTCAAACAAAATGAGAATGAAAGGATAGCCATGCTTGATTAGTTATAGAAACTGATAATGAGAAAGTTTTGCTGGTTTCATAGTCATTAAGCTCCAGAATATTGCCAGATTGGTCCTTTCTGTTGTTTAATGATGGTATGAAGCCCCTGGTTGAAGTTATCAGGGAATTTCTACCCATGTTTTATTACTCCTCCTCAGATTTAGATGGGACTATATAGGTTCTGGAGCAGAGTCTACAGGATGAGGGCTAGTAAGTTCAATCAGAATCTCAACAAGGTAGAGCTCTGAAGTTGGTATGCTGGGGTAGGTAGGAGCTTTGGAGTACTCCGTGATACATTTTCTTCAATGGATGCTCAAATAGCCTAGAATGCTTTTAACCAGTTTGGACTAGTCCATCAGCATCTCTGAGAAGGTAGTTCATTCCCATGCCCATTATTGTAATGTGTTCTACACGAGGAACATCCTTTAAAGATGACATGAGATTGTCACTGGTTTAGAATACTTCTCTCAAGATTTAGTCTAAATCTCAGGATTTAGAAACCATATTTCAACAGTTTTAAAGGAATAACACTATTGCATCCTTACATCTCTCCCTAGCTGAATGTCATTACTCTTAGCTGCTTAAGCGTTTATCCTTTTTAATCACAGTTTAAGGAAAATCTCTCAGTAGAGTTACAGTCTCATAATTAAATCAAAGCACTACCTGCTTTGCTTCTTAAAGGAACAGTCTTTTTTACTAAATGCTAAATAAATCAGAAATTTTATTATTCTTTTTCAAAATGCATAAACAACAAAAGAACTGTGAAATTTTGTCACCATTAAGTCCAAACTGATAGGATAGTGAAATCTTGCTTTTAGACAAAGACAAGAAATGAGACTTTCCAAAAGCACATGATAAATTCTTCAAACCCTGTTGATAAGATCTTGTTTTCTTTTCTCATAGATCTTTACCTTAAAACCAGACTAGACTAGGATTGCTCGAGGATTTTATTTGGTCTACATGTTATAGGTAAGCTTATACTTTCTAAAAAGTATGGAGTGAAATGTATATTTCATTTTTTAACAAGATGGGCGGAAACAAATTCGATATATAAATAAATAAATAAATAAATAAATATATATATCCTTCCAATTATCATACAGTTCTGAATATTTGCTTAAAATACATTTGAAATATTTATTTATATCAATATATAAATAAGCATTAAAATTTTGTAATAAATGCACATTAAATATTATTTTTACAACCAGATCTGCATAAGATGTATACAAATTTTATGGAGATTTTTCCTGAATTAATGTATATGTGTAAATGTATACAAGGTAAAAATGATATGCAAAGAAAAAAAGTTCCCTACGTATCTCAAGATTGTTCAGCCCTTCCAATATATGATGCATTGTAACAATAGAAAATCTTCTCAAAAGTAGGATACATAAGCATCATAGGAAATGCAATGCAGCAAAACTGGGGGCTTTGTTTTGTTTGATCCGGCAGCACAGTAAGTGACCCCCCCCCCATTTTTGTAAAGATCTCCTGCAGCATACTTTGAAGAGGAGGTCTATTGTAGATAGAGAAGGATGAGAGATGAGAACTAATAGGCCCCAACATGTAATTTATGATGCATCGCTGTAAAGAAAGACATTGTTTGAACATTTCTTATGAGCTAACTTTAAGATCCATGTAGGTACAAAGGTAGGATACTACTATTTTAATTAATCAAATATCTGTTCCTTATAGGGCTATTTTAAGCATCAGTGAACTCACAGATGTAAAATCCAAAATTCATAGGTGACTTCTATTTTTATTAGGAATAACCAAAATGTCACAAAACAGTGGGTACGCTTCTGAGATCTTCAAAATTCTTCATTAGGGAAGATGTTACAAAAAAATAGACAGGACACATCTAGAATATTGTATCAACATCACTAAAGTTTTTAAGTCACAATGTAGATTCTGAGATGGAAAGAAGATTATCACACTGTAGTTGCTTATAGCTGGGAAAGATTAAGCTTTTGGCTTCATCCAGGAAAATGGGAATGAGATAAACAGAAAACAGGAAGAAATTACTTGAAGTGCACTGCTTGTTTTAATGCTTGCCAAAAGCAAATGGCAGATGGCAGTAAGATTTCTGGAAGGAACTACAGTTGCCATCTAAACATTTGCCAAACTTTAGAAAATATGGAGTCACACTGTCTTATTTAATCTTTTGTTAAGAATAATGACATACCTCTATTGAAACCCATGTTTCAATATTTCACTGAAAATCTATATACCTCTCTGGAAATAAGAAATATTCCTCCATATTTCTTCTTCTCCAAGCAAAATGGTGAGTAGAAGGAATGCGCACATATTTTTGGTTCAGAAGATGATGAAAATGAAAACATAAACATAAATCTTCCGATTTAATCATTGCCTGAATGTTAAACACAATCCATAGTGTACATAGATGTAGTCAGTCAAGAGGGATTAAAAAGGGGGGGAAAAAAGAGTTCTTTGTTCACGCTGGAAACTCAGCAGGTTTGGCTCCAGGAATCATAACAACTCCCGTCTGTTCAAGTCCTCAAGTAGCGGATGGTCTCCATGCTGGAGTTCCTGTTAATAGCTGTTTACGAATTCTAATACATTTATTAATTTCAAATGACAATTAGCAGTTTTCTTTTTTAAAAAAGCCAAACAAGCTGTCAAACCATTTAAAAACAAAAATATGTGAAGAAAACAACTTGAAAAATTACAATATGATTTACACAAGTGAGATAACAACAAATCAGGCATCTGTTATATAATGGATTTCTAGGGGTTGTTCTTATGCACTCAGATTAAACATACATGTGGCATCATGTGTGACAGAAATCGTGATATTATTTCTATTGCCTTTTTGCCACCTTATTTTTTCCCTCAAGCAGTTTAGGAGGAACTAACAATCCACTTCCCAAGCTTATGCCCATTGAAACAAATTAAAGATCACACCTATGAAGTCTTAGAATTGGAAGTCTTTTAGCTAATCCAACTATATCTAACACAAGTCCATTGAAAATAAGGAAACAAGTTTGCCTGGCGAAAGGTCATATTTCTCCCAAATAAAATACAAAATGCCATGCATCTGCCTGTACATTTGTCTGTGAGCAAGTAAATTAATCGACTTCTAGAGAAAAAATGGAAGCAGTAGGAAATACAGTATCTCAGGAGTGTTTTTTTTAAAAACCGTAATCTGAATAAAACATTCTATTTTATGTTTGGCATACCTACCTGAAAATGTTATTCCTCATTTATACAAAATGTTATCAGTGCCCTTCATTAGGGCATAAGACACTTAAAATTCCACAAAACTCACACAGCGAGGTGGAGACAAAATTAGTTTGCAAAAAGCAATTAGCATAACTGTAACTAATCCCTACTGTTTGCTATTTACATAATTCTCCTGGAGAAGTTCCATACATCTTTTCTGACCTCAATTACACTCTCCCGAGGACTACATTTTCAAACAGAGTAAAGTAACATGAAAAAAGTGCTCTAATAATTTAAGGACAGAGGACATAACAGCCTTAAAACATGTAAGTGTAGCCTTTGATTAATTTTACTAATTGGTTTTTAAATTATTATATAATTTGAGAGTGACTGAGGAAGCAAACCTAGATACAGTATAACCATTAAAGAGAGAAGAAAACATGGCTAAATAATGAAAATTGTTTAGGAACTGCATTCAGACTTCTAGAAGCGAAGCAAACAAAACATTGCAGCACATCAGTGTCAGGATTGCTACCAAAGAAGAACTACAGGGCAATCACCTTTGGGGGATCCACTGTGATGGTGAACAAGGGTGAGAAGCCTTATTCTTATGGGGGAAAATGAAATTGATTGTATCATACATTTTTATTAAGGTAGGGCTTGATGACTATTGCCTGTTGGTAGAAATATTTTGGAAGGGGACAAAGAAATGGAGGGCAGGAGAGAGCAGCATAGAAAGCAAAGTTGTTATAAAGGAAGCAAATGTGATGGGTATGAGTTACTTCCTTAATTTTTATAGTCATTCTCCTGGAATTAAGATACTGCTACTGAATTCCAGGCCAGTGAATGAGGGGGGGGGGGGGGGGAAGACCCATTCAAAATCTAGTCCTGCATGAGTATGCCCATTTTGTTCAGTATTTTCTGTTCCCAAGCAGCCAGTACAATATTGGTTTAATGGTAAAATCACAGAATCATAGAATTGGAAGGGATCTAAGAGGTCATCAAGTTCAACCCCCTGGACACTGCAGGATTCACTAGACCATCCCTGATAGATGACTATCCACCTCTGTTTGAAAACCTCCAGTGAAGGGGAAGAAACCACTCCATGCGGTAACTTGTTCCACTGACTGACCATTCTTACTGTCAAGAAGTTCTTTCTAATG